AGAGCTACTCTTGTCTTGCATGCAAAAGGCCTTGGGTTAGATCCCCAGCGGGGTGTCAGGGGGCCGGGGATGGAAATAAATAGCTCAGTGTGGTGGGGCACATTGTGATTCCAGCACCTAGGAGGCTGAGGCAGGAGGATCGCGGAGATTCGAGGCCAGCCTGGGCTACACAGTGAGTTCAAGCAAGTATGGACTCAGAGTGAGACCCTGTCTCAAAAACAAAACAAAACAAAAACTATAACCTATCCCCTCGTCCCCAATAAATTTTTCAGTCAATACAAGGACAAGGACAGTTAGATCTCCTTTACCAGAGGGGCAGTCAAGGCTGGTCGGTGGGGAGCAGAGCCGGCCTTTGATGCCTAGCTTCTGCCTGATGTGCTGGCTTTTGATGCGGGGAGGCGGCTCAGACCACCTTTTGTTACCACATCCCGGACCTAATGGCCCCAAACTGTACGGAGAGCGGGATCCCCATGATCCTGATCAGGATCGGAAACTGCAGCGCCCCCTAGGGAAGGCCGGAATCCAGCCGCGCCCCCTGCTGGCCGCGCCCTGTGTGGATTAGGTCCACGTCCTTGGGTCCGGAGGCAGAAGGGGCTGGGGAGGCTCAGGGTCTCCAGGTCGCGCTGCCCGAGCCTTCCTTGGCCGCAGACCTTGTGCCCCAACTCCATGTCCTGATCCTCGGGGGCCGCCACCGCTGGAAAGGCTGGGGTCTGACTGCGGCGCGGTGCGCACAGAAGGGCGGATCCGGCTCCAGTCCCTGCAGTAGCCGAGGTCTCCTGGTGCTGAGATCTCCAACTCTGGGTATTCTATTTCGTGTCCCATGTCCTACAGGGGCTTGGACAGGTCCCCTCTCACGTAAGGACCTGAGAGGTCAGCCTCTCTGGGTCCTCCAGGGCGCGAATTGAATGAGTTGATTTTTATTTGCCTGTGTTGAGGATTTGGAAATATTTGAAAGCTTTCTGTAAAGCTATCCACAGGGGAACGGGTTCAAGGTACACAGAGGAAGATGAGGCACTAATCCGGGGCAGAGGCCTGGGTCTGCGGCACAATGACAATGATCCAGTCCTGGGATTTACAGATAACTTTTTCACAATTTCCTCCAGTGAGCGCATGAGAAACTGCTTTGTTTGTGGAAAATACACAGTAAAGTGGCAGGGTAGTGTGTTGGCTACTTACAGTTTGTGGGGAAACTCTAGTGTATTTACAAGCTCCTATGTATTTGTCATTTAAAAGTTTTAATTTGTTTTGGGGGTGTTTTTTGTTCTTT